ATAGCACAGACCTCTGTGGTCTTTGGTATTTATGCTTCTGCTGTATATTATATCTGCCAAGTTGCAGGTACACCTCTAATATACGAGCACGCTTTTTCTACCAACAGCAGTAATAGAATGTTGTCTCTTGTGTATAAGCTATCACTAGAGAACAAGTGTTTATGCCTTTAAAATCTGAACAATTGAGAAATATTTTCAGATCTGTCTTTGGGGTATGAAGCACCATAATTGTCACAGCTGCAAACCCAATCCCCCCTGTTCTGTTTTAAAGAACTCCTACACTGGTGAAAGCACTTGATCACAACAATTTAAAAAAAAAAAAAAAAAAATCCTTTTTACTGAGTGTGTCTCTGTTGCAGAGCAAAAGCCATTTTAAATTAAAGCTTTACAGCTTGACCTGGAGGCAAAGATTCCTATGCCTTCTTCCCCTGTAGTTCTCCAAATAAGACTTTCAGTGGCTCCTGAGAGTTACAAATGCAATAATTATCCTCCCTATTCATGGTTTAGACTTTATCACAACATTATTCTCTTTTTACTCTAAGCTGTTTTAAACACCTTTAGATCATTTATCCAGCTGCATTCATGTCCTTACCATGTCCAATATAATGCATACCTTATCATCTTGTGGTTCACATTGAAAGCTAATTCTTTTATCTTTTCAACTAATCTCCTGGCATTACTGTGAAGATAAATCCCTAATCTCCCTCTCCCTGCTTTTCTGAAGTGACTTTTTTCCTTGACATGTTGTTCACTGTTACTACCGGTACTTTACTTCTCTAGATCTTGCTACAGAATTTTTGCATAGGTTTCTCAATTATTTTCTTGTTATAACTTGCAAGTTGAATTTTGTACTGTAAAGTTTTCATTGGCTCTCTTCTGTTTACCAGTCAACATCCCGTAGGTGGTTTACGGTCATATTCTGTAATGTGGGGTGGTAAACAAATTTCAGGAAGAAGGGAATAAGGAAACAGTTGTACATGTTTTTAAAAAGCCTACAAGAAAATCCATATACACCAGAAAACCACATGCACAGCTTATCCTCTCAGCAGTGTTTTTGGACCGTTATTTTATCTGTGAAACATCTTCAGTCCTAATTACAGTACTGCAATCTACTGAACAGAGTAATGGCAGAGTAACAGAACTGCAAATAGATTGTTAATAAAATAAAGGCTCACAAAGGAAAGAGTTTAAAGCAGGTAGGAGATGGATGAGCAGAATTGTACCAAAGAATACAGGGGAATTGAGAGGAATGTAAGCAGAGACAACACCCACGGAGAAATAGTTGTGCAGGAGGGAGCTGCTCCCACCCAAAAATCTTATAACCACCAGCATGAGATTTGAAAACATCTTGGGCATGCATCAGACTATCTTTGCTTCTCTCTAGTGCAACCTTCTCAATTTGTTTTGTGCTTCTACCTCCGTTACAAACTCATCTTTTTTCCTGACTCTTCTAATTTTCATTGTGCTGTTTTCTTATGTAATTTTAATACTTTTAATAAATTATTCCAAACCTAGTCAGTTTTCCTGTAATTTTAAGTTCCTGTAGATGTAACTGACCTGCATGACAAATGTCTGCAGGGCCACTAGCAATTGAAATTAGAAGTGCAAATTCTTCACAACTTAGTGAAAAGACGTTTGCCTTTATTCATACATGTCTGGTTTATGTGCTGTCAGTTGAATTGCTTTTTTTGATTCCCATGCCCTTCTTGATGTTGCTCACATTCTCCATGTTTACAAACACATGAATAAAATGTATGTTACATTATATTCTCAAAAGCTTTAGAAGAAACATTCTAGTTAAGCAGAGGGTCAGAAATTGATTTTAAAAAGCTTGCTATTATCTTTATAAAGTAAACTCCTTTTTAGCCTGTTTCTATTTCAAAAGGTTATCCTTGATTTTAAAAATCTGTCTGAGAAATTATTCTCTCTCAAAATGACAGCACTTCTGAAGTGCAGCTTCTACACAGTTGATCTTGACCTTTATATACTTTTTAAGCAAATGGGAGATTTCTGTTGTCTCCTGAGTTACAAGTAAGAGATTTCAGTGCATGAATGTATACCAAGTATGCAAGTACATTTAGCTTATCTGGCTAACCTTCAGTTAAGGAAGCTGTGATTCCCTTTTCAAGTCCATTCCTTTTTTTTTTTTCTTTTTTTGAATCCCCACTTTGTGATATGCAGACTTTCTTCAGTTGAGTTATTGTCTCTCCTACAGCAGAAGCGCAGTATCGTTTACCCTGTATCTTAGTGCCTCTGATCATTCTTGCTTCCTCATGCCCCTCCTTAGTCTGCTGCTCTCTTCCCATATTGCATGGTGCTGGAAGTGGTCCTAGTTTGCCCTCAGCTCTTTAATGTTGGCTTTAGTGGAAACAAAGAAAAAGCCATCTTAAACAACAGAATATGGAAAATATAGAGATATGGTTGGTATTGCAAACAAAGGCTAAAAAACCTGAATTTGAGTAAAACTGGAAGTTTTCATGGTGCTCTGAAAATACCACCTTGGTTACAGAGGCTTCCCATGTGTAATTTCTTCCGTTTAAACTCATATAACAAGTAAAAGTTACTGCTTGTACTACTGTGGGGATCGGATTGAGTAGTTTATAGTTGTCAGGGTGCGCTGTGCTGGCATAGGAGGTTGCAAAGCTAATTGCATAGTAGTAATTTACAGTTGCTAGCAGTGTTTAGAGGTTCCTGTTCACCAGACACATGCTGTACATATATGTATAGTATGCTTAATTTTTAGCAGGTGAACTTTGTAAAACTGAATGAACATATGTTGAATAGATTATCTTCTGGTATAAGGTTTTTGTTAGGGAAATTTAAAAGATTCCTTAGAGATTCTCAGTGACAAAATCTCATATGTCAGTTTGTAAATATCAAAACCCAGCTGAACTTTTAATAGTATAAATTTCACCCAAAGGCAGCTTATTTTAAGCACAGCACTATTTCAGTTGTAACCAAGTAGAGCATGGAATTGCTTGCCAACATCTGCGAGCTTGGTACAAAATGTTTTACACATCCTTCTATTTTTTTTACATGTGTTTTTATTTCGATCCTGTGAAAACTGCTATTTTATTTCAGCATTTAATTGTGAATAACCCGGTTTTCTTTCCAGTCCTTCCATTTCTTGTCTGAACAGATGTAAAGTATATGCAGATGATTCACACAGGAGCAGGGTTCCAAAATATCCCGGTGTTAGAGCACCACCTATAGGGTTTGCTCAAAACTAAACCAAGAAATGTTCCAGGGAACAGTTGATTGAATATTCAAATAAAATAATATCTTTCTCTATTTTGAGATTTTTTTTTTTTTGTCCCTAGATATTAGGGCATGTCCTACATTCTATAGCTGAAGTATGTTGATACTTAACTGTGCAGCATGAATAAAGCTCTAATAAAAAACCTGTTTAAAACAATGTTTTCTTACAACTGTACATGAAAGCAGTAAATTTGTGGAGTTTTATTTTTGTTTCTAGAGTTCTATATTTACACTAATACAGAAAATGCAGGCATATGCCAGCTTTTTTGTCTTTTAATCCTTTAAAACCTATTTTTAGAAATGTATTTGTCATGCCATATAGAAATATTTTTAAGTAATAATAATCATTTAAGAATATAACTTCTTATTGTATTGGAGCTCATCAATAATTTCAGGTCCCTATAGTTTTGAAAAATGATCTTAAAAGTTTGATTGTGGATAAAAATAGAAAAAAAATTGATAACCTGTTTACAGATTGCATTATTACAACTTTGGCACTATTACAAATGCAGTTCATTCTTCATCATGTTTGTTCACTGCATCAGTTCTGATTTGTTATTTTAACCAAATACATATTCAGAATTTAAAAAAAATTAAAAGCTTTTGATCATCAGACAATAATGAAAATGTCTCCTCATTTGTAATAGTTCTTGTGTTAAACTAGTGTGCGTAACTGATTGTGCTACCAGTAAACTTCGAGAGCCCACAAGTTTTGGACTAGCAGTGAGGAAATTGTAAAATAAAAGCACAGAAGGCAATTAATTTTTAATGTGTTTTCTGACCTCTGAAACTTCCTCATAATTTCAGATTCTGTAGCGAGAGTATTCTGGCCTTCCTATTTTTGTGAAGGTTGTGAATATGCTTCATGACAGGTGTTGGATATAAGGCCGCTAAAGGGGAAAAAAAAAACAACAGCAAAACAAACCCACAAAACTAATATGTACATTACTTGAAATAAAATGAACAGAGCTGAGAACGCTCCAGTGAAAGGAACGAGCAACTGAGTTAAGGCCAATACAGAAAGCTACACCTATAATAAAGTAAGAATACAAATGGCTGAGTTACTTCAGTTGCATAGAATTAGTCCTATAAATACAATCTTTCTAGTCCGTTATTGGAAATGTAGTTACAGAAGTCCCTATTAAGAATAATCTCTTGTAAACCTAACTTTTTTAATATCTGTAAATGAAGTGTGCTGCCGGAAGTGCTCTTTGCCTTCCAAGCATTGGAATCATTTATGAAGACAATTTCCATGCCAAGGGCTAGAAGGGATATTTAAATGAGGGCCAGGAACTGGGTCTTCCTAAGACAGGAAATTTCAACTACTTGATTATTTTGCTTTAATTTATTTTTCACCTTCTAATGCATTTTTCAGCATAAGGTGTAAATGCATAGTTAAATTGAACTGAGTCTTTGTGAAGGCTAAAACTAAAATTAGGAAATACAAAATCTTTCACATTACTGATAAAGTTGTCAAAGTCTGTATAGAGTGATCTGTTTTTAATCTGTAGTACTAATTGACATTAGTATAAACTTCTATACTGGCAACACTGGAAAACATCTTTTGGTTGACATGTTGTGACCTCTGTCCATTATGAACTCCTTTACACATTGCTTTTGATGCTACCTCATCTAACTCAGTAGGAGATTTTCCCTGATAAGTGTTGATTGATTTTTGTCCTACTGGCTTTTTAAAAAACGGCATTAATCAAGTTGCTTTCAATATATATGTATTTTTTTAGCTTGTGGAGATATTCCAGAACAAATTCGATCACCAAGCGGGACAATCACAAGTCCAGGGTGGCCCTCTGAGTATCCTGCCCGAATCAACTGTAGCTGGTACATCCATGCAAACCCAGGGGAGATCATTACTATAAGGTAACAGTGCTCCTGTATTAACTACATGGATTGAAGAAGTACTGACTAGACATTTTTAACTGTCAATTGTGTATTTACCAATTTCCTCTTCCTTCCTGTAAAGGTAGGATTTCTGTTTTGTTTGTTTTCTGCCTTTCCTTTTTTCTGATTTGCTCTTACACAGCCATGTAGCATTTGTTTTCAGCTGGAGGGTTGGCGACTAGAAAAAGTTTCTATGTGCTCTTTTATTTGATTCTTGTTAATGTCTCTGAAATACAAGAATTTTGCATTTAAAAATGTGTAGGGGAAATTCTATAATGCTTCATTGCTATGGAGTCTTCTGGGTATAAATAGTAAATCAATAGATACGATTGCAGTTTGGGAAATGCTGAGTTTTGGTGCAGGGAGCTCCTCACAGTTTCACGTACCTTATAACTTTTCTAAAGTAATGTAAAAAAGTTGTATCGTAGGTTCAGGTTCTCATGAGTTCATTCCCCATTACTGCCACAAGGGAAATCTAGGCTTGTTTTAGCATCAAGATACAAATTAGTACTGCTTCACAGGCTGATCATGAAACTGCATTAGCTGCAGATTTACTTACGTTTCCAGTACAGACCTGCTGACCTAAGAAGCAGCTCTTCATTATGAAGTATTTGCTTTGACATCAGTTACTCTTTTGAAGTACTGCTTTTTAATTTAAACAGCCTTTCTACTAAATATTAAACTGGCACAAATGCAATGTAAAGTAGGTAGAGCTGTTCATCTACTAGAATGCTTTCTAAACTTTTTCATACAGTTTATTTTTCATAAAACCCTTTTTTTTTTTCCTCTCACATTGTTTCCTTCCACTCATCTACCTAGCATACACTTCACATTTCATTTCTGGTTTACTGCTGTGTTGTTTGTACTGACCTGTTTTGCCCAGACTGTCTTCCCTTCACACTTCATTACCATGGCAGCATGTCTTGGTATAGCTGTAGCCATACCATGACATACCCATTGGGTAACTGAGTAGTGCAACTGGGAAATTGCCTGAAATTACAGCTTTGAACAATTTAGCTGTATTTATAATGTCAAGTCATATCATCGGCTAAGTGTAACATTAGCTAAAGTTCTGATGAAATTTGGGTTAAATAAAACCCCTTAGTAGTATATGAAAGTCATTAAGTGAGACTCATAAAGACAATTTCATTAACAGAATTATTTAATTCTTTTTTTTTTTTTTTTTAGATGAAGGCTTAATGTGTTTTTTATAGCAAAACTGATCTTCTTTAAGTAGTGGATGCAGTATTTAGGTTAACAGAATGGATTCTTCCTGTCCAAATAAAAGTATCATCACCACAAGGTTAAATCCTGTTCTTACACGGTTAGAGAAGCTGCTCTTTTTATTTCAGACCAGAAAAGAACTTACAGCTAACTTCCATTTTTGTGTGTAGCAATTCATCAGCTTAGAATCCTAGAATGGTTTGGGTTGGAAGGGACCTTAAAGATCATCTAGTTCCAAGCCCCCTGTTATGGGCAGGGACACCCTCCACTAGACCAGGTTGCTCAAAGCCCCATCCAACCTGGCCTGAGCTTGTTGTGTAATATCCAGTTCAGTAGCAATTTTGACCTCTTTTTTTTTTT